GGGATGCGAGGTCAATGGTCTAACGACTACGGCATGCACGACTATGAGTACCCAGCCCCCGCCCCCCCCACTTTGATCTCTCAGAGGCAAAGCTCTGGATACGACGATGACGGCATGGACGGCTCCGACCGCGGGTCCGACAGCGACGCAGACGAAGGCGCTCGCGCGCGAAAGGTGCTGTCTGAGTGCTCGGCCCTCTCCAAGAAGCTCGCCTCAGTCATCTCTACCTGGGCGGGCACCACCACCACCGCCGCCGCCGAAGAAGAAGGGGGCTCGGCGGCTAGGGTAGGGGGGGGCAGGGGTGCGCTCGAGATCTGCAGCCTCAAGGGCGGAAAGGCGGTGACGACGAACGAGGAGGTTCAGGAGGCGTGTCCGGGGCTGAAGCTGAATCCGTGAGTGTTGTTTTGCGGGCGCTGTTGGTTGTGAGTGGTCATGTGATTCGGCAGGGAGAAGAAGGGGAGAAGAGGGAGTAATAAGTGTGTATGTTGTTGTTGTCGTCGTCGTCGTCGTCGTCGTCGTCGTCGTCGTTGGTGTTGGTGTTGTTGTCGTCGTCGTTGTTGGTGTTGTTGTCGTTGTGGTCGTCGTCGTCGTTGGTGGTGATGTTTGCTGTTGCTGGTATGTCGCTGTCGTTGCTCTTGTTTGTGGTTGTCGTTTGCTGGTGTCGTTTGTTGTTGCTGTAGCACTCGTAATTGCTCATGCCTCATGTTATCTAGGGTTACATCGACGAAACAAAAAAAAACGTGACAGCTTTACGTACAGAGGATATATGTTTTTTCCGCGTGTCTTTCAAATGCACGGGCCAGGTATCAGCTTGTCGGGGTGAACTGGATGTGCCTCCTACGAGACACGAACGTGAACGGGGTGCTAGCCGACGAGATGGGTCTGGGCAAGACGGTGCAGTCCATCGCCTTCTTTGCCCTCCTCAAGCACAGGAGGAAGGGGGCCCCGCCGAGGTAATACTGGGTGTATGTCCACCGACCCCCGCGTATGCACGTTTACAAATGCAGAGACCGGCATAGGCATGCGTGTGTGTGTGTCTTTTTTTTTTGCATCGACCGCGCTTTGTGTGTGTGTGTGCTTTAATTATTAGCATCGACCGCGCTAACCGGGTGTGTGTGTGTGTGTGTGTTCTTTTACGTAGCGTTGACAGCACTATCCGGCTGGCCAATGAAAAGACGTCACCCTCAGTGCGGCAAAAAAACGGAAAACGCTCCCTATGTATTTGGTGTGCGTGTGTGAGTGTTTCGAATGGCATCGACCGCGCTTGTATGTATCCAGCTGGCCGACCAAATGACTTGAAAAAATAGCAGCAACCATCCTTTTTTTCCTTTCCCTCCTACCGGTAATGTTTTTTTTTTCGCCATTCAGACGGCCACATCTGGTCGTGGTCCCAAGCTCGGTGCTGGACAACTGGGCCAGCGAGCTGGAGAAGTTCTGCCCGGCGCTCGACTTGGTCAAGTACCACGGCTCTCAGAAGGAGCGGGCCGCCATGAGGCACAGCCTCAACCGGGTGGCGTCAGACGCCGATAGGGAGGCCATGCCCGTGAGTAGTCTCCCGTGTACCATGGTGGTGTCTTAACACCACTTTGTTCCTTTTTTTCAACAGGGGCAACGAAGGTTTTCTGTTGTGAATTTCATCCCTTTTGACCTTGGATGCTTTTTTTTTTTTTTTCCGTTTCGGTATGTTTCTTGTGGATTGCACCTGCCGGGGATTTTGTTTGATTTTCTGTTTGCCCCACATCACCCCATGCTTTATTTAACATGGTGTTCGGCTGCGGTTCGGCTGCTGCTGGTTCTCTGTTGCTTGTGCCGGGCCAAGCGCGCAGCCGATGGTAGCAGTATTGAAATTGACGTCGTGTGTCGGCGGGTGTGTACTGTGCTTGCTGCACCGTCTGTGCGCCACCCCCCTCATAACCAAACACTACAAAGTACAGCTCCCTCAACATTGCAACAACAATGATGACGAGGTGGGACGGTCATCGCTTCCGTTCTTCTGTTAACTTGCTTGTTTTTTTTGTTCCTAATCTCCTATTGCAGGACATTATCCTGACCACCTATGTAGTCTGGGAGCGGGAGAGCTCGGCGGACGACAGGGCGTTCCTGAAAAGGTACATACGCACCCGCAAGTATATTCAAGTGATTCATCCGGAGTGGGCTGATGAGGGCATAGTGCCGTCAAGGGGTGCCACTAGAACACAGCGAAGGCAGACAGCAGGGCCGGCCCGCAGCTGCCGGTTGGTTGTAACGTTATCAGCTCACACAGCTTACCGGCTTTTTCCCCCAAGAGCCCAGCGACCCTCAACGAACAAAAAAAGGAAAATATGTATCGACATAATGCATCGCGAGAAAGAGAATCAACCAAATAGGTAGAAGTTATACTACGTGGTAAAGGGGTGCCATGACTCGTTTCAGAAGGTTCTTGTCTGAGTGAAAGCACACACGCAGGAGCAACACAGTTTCGTCATGCATGGTGAGCTGTCTGTATAATTTTTTTTCTATTGATGTATTTTTTGTTGAGCAGCCGAGTTTCGCCATGCATGGGTGAAGTGTTTCAACTTTTTTTTTACCATCGTGTTGTATGTTCGTGTCTTGTCAGGTTCCGTTACGACTACATGGTGCTGGACGAGGGCCACAGCATCAAGAACATCAAGTCCAGCCGCTTCCAGCGGTTGAGAGTCGTCTCCGCCAAGCACCGTCTGCTACTCAGGTACGTACATGTCTTGGGGGGAGCCAATCGGTTGCTTGGCTGAACTTGGCATCAAAGGAGGACCGCCGCCCAATATGTGAGGCCTTCTTGAAGGCCTTCCTTTGAAGTCAGCCCGATTGTTAGGGTTGGGGTTAGGGTTTCCTCGGCTAGCCGTTGTCCCTTCTCTCTTAACGCGTTCGTCGGAGTTGATTGATCCCCGTACCAAATAATGTTCTTAGCGCGCGAAACAAGGGAGGAACGATTGGCCATTGGTGATCGGTCCTGTAGGAACCATGCTGCGTCCTCTCGAGGACGCGTGGTCAATGGCCTAACCGCTAAGGCATGCAAGACATAAGAGTACGCCCCCCCCCCCCCCCCCCCCCC